TTTATTTATTTTTTTTCTTAAGATTTTATTTATTTATTTGACAGAGAGAGACACAGTGAGAGAGGGAACACAAGCAGGGGGAGTGGGAGAGGGAGAAGCAGGCTCCCCGTGGAAGAGGGAGCCTGATGCGGGGCTCGATCCCAGGACCCTGGGATCATGACCTGACCTGAAGGCAGACGCTTAACGACTGAGCCACCCAGGCTCCCCACTGCTGTAGTCTTTCACACTGCTTTATAATTATTTACTTACATGCCTATCTTCCTTTAATATGAGTGTTGAAACAACGTGGGAAGGCAACATTTTTACAGACATGTTTTTAAACATAACCAAAATTAAAAATCTGTGTATTTAAAATGACATTATTTCCCTTTTTTCCCCCTCAGCATAGGGCTACTTTCAAATTTGAATCAACAGATGAAGATAAAAGAAAGGTAAGCCTTGGTGTTACTCTTTGTGTGTGTATTTGTGTGTTTGTGTGTGTGTGTGTTTCATTCATGGACTCTTTAAACAGTGAACTTGTTTTCATCTGATGATTTTTAGGTTTTGGTTTCCTTTCAGTTTGTTTTTAGGAACTCTGAGAAGAAGACAAGTACCAGGGTTAGTATGGATTACACCCAACCTTCTCCTGGTCCATTCTCACAGGACCGTTATACTTGCATAAATCAGAGGAATGGGAAGGGTTCAGAGGGGACTCTCCCCATATCTTCTCAACTCCAGAGATTGACCTTATTTGGTGGCAGAACTGTAGGCTGCCCAAAATGCATTGCTAGTATTGTGAAGCTTGGCTTTGGAATAAGTTTTGGGAAAGCAGCTGTTCGTGCTGCTGCCCCTCAACCACACATTGTTCCCTGTACTAGCAGTTATTTATATTGTCAGCAATTATCTTGGTCACTCACTTCACAGGCATAGAGAAAAATGGAGTCAAGGGCCTCACCAGTAGAGGAGTTATTGTAAGAAAGGGTGCATCAGAGGGGTGCTTGGGAGGCTCAGTCAGGTAAGTGTCTGACTCCTGATTTTGGCTCAGGTCATGATCTCAAGGTCATGAGATCAAGCCCTGCATCGATGTCCGTGCTAGGCGTAGAGCCTGCTTAAGAGTCTCTCTCCCCCTCTCCTTCTCTCGAAAAACAATAAAAATAAATAAAAATAAATTTTAAAAAAGGTGCATCAGACATAAGACCATGTAATGTTATGTTTGCCTGTTGGGGTTGCATGTGGTTGTTTTACTTAGCTGATTAGAACATGATGCTAAAGGAGGAGCTCACCAGTTCCCCCTGAGAATTTTGCTGGGCCCCATACATCTATCCCTGGCCATACAAATATCAAGACCAAGTGAGAGAATATGACTGAACCAGTGTAAACCTACCACTGCTGCTGAAAAAATAGCTTAAATCCAGTGTTTTGCTGGGAATGGTTTGATAATACGTTGAAATCATCCCTTTATTTACCTCCACCCCTATGTAATATCTACATTTTGTTCATTTTACCTCTTAAGGCTCCTTCAGTCCATTCTCTCCTTAATCCCTGCCCTAATTCAAGCCTTCCTGAGTTACTGTTCCAGTTTCCTGACTGTTCCTTCTTTTTCCAGTTATGTGCCCTTTCAGTCCATTGTCCATAATTCTAAAACAACAATATGATCATGTCACTCCCAACTTCAAAACCCATGAGTGATTTTCTTTGCCTGTAGAATAAGGTCAAGCATCTTAACATGATATAATACATGTCCAGTGATCTGATCTCTGTCCACTTTTGCAGCCTATTGCATACTACTCTATTGTATTTTATGCTTTAGCAATATGAAATATTACAAGGTACATCCACATCCACATCCCTTCTGCTCTTTCTTCCTAACTTTGCATATGTTGTTTTCTACCTAGAATGCCCTCTCCTTCTTGTATACCACTTCCTCTTTTCACCTGGTTAATTCCTACTCAGCTCTAGGAGCACCTCCTTCAAGAAGCCTCCTCTGGCATTCTTTCAGGATGAAGTACCCCGCTCCAGTATTCCCATAAAATTCTGTGTAAATCTCTAACATTATGCTTGTACATTATCTCAATTATATATTGATGTCTCTCATTGATAGACCCTGCAAACTCCAATGATAGATACTATTATTTATCTTTATATCCTCGACATCTAGAATGAACAGCACATAATAGGTATTCAAAAAATATTTATTGAATGAGTGACATGGGGTATAAACCATGAAGGGTCAAGATTTAAGTCTGATTTTCTTTTGGATTTGAACAATGTAAACAAGACTAGAGTACTTTGTAGAATGGATTCTCAACTAGGGATATGCTGTTTGGAGAGCCTTTTCAAGATAGGCCTGCTCAGGCCTGACCCCTTATCTACTGAGTCAGAATTTGGGGGGTGGAATCCAGGCATATGTGTTTTTATAAATGGTCTTAAGGAAATAAGTACTTACACATTTGGTGGGAGTGCAAAATGGCGCAACCCCTATGGAACAGAAACTGACACTATCTACCAAAATTACAGACGCATTTTGCCCTTTGACCAAGCAAGGTTACTTTTAGAAATCTATTCTGTGGATAGGTTCAACCCAGGTAAACATAGTATTCATTGAAGATTGTACATAATAGCAAAAGATTAGAAACAAATGTCCAGCAATTAGGGAGTATTTGAAGAAACTAGGGTACATCTACATAATGGATTACTATGATGTAGTAAAGAGAGAGAGAAGGGGAAGGGGAGAAGGAGAGAGACAGGTATGTGCTAAGGGGACAGAGAGTTAAGTGAGAAAAAGAAGGAGCAAGGTGTTAAAAACAATTTTTGACAGACTCATGATAGGTACTCAGGCTAGGGAGGCAGCTGCTATTTTTATTTTATTTGAGAGAATCTGTACTATATCTGCCTTGGGACTCTGATACTAGAATCTGATAGTGCTTTTACTGGTCAAAATAAGTACATTAAGACAGAGATTCCCCCCACTCCGTGTAAGTTTCAGTTGAGGCAGAATAATTCTCCACTCAGTTGTTAATAAAGCATGTGTATTTTCTGTAGGATAGTAGCAAAACGTAACATATCAAAGTATTGTTTTTTACTGCCTGCTAGATCTTTGGAGACAGTAGCTCCTGTACTGGTGTTATTTTCAGTGATAGTAGGTAGATTCCTGCTTCCTGGGAGGTCTGATATAAACATATGCAATTAGGGACCTAGCTAGCTGTCTTATTAATGGAAAAACATAGGCAAACAAAATCATTCTAGTCTCCAAGGGTTAAAATCATTAGTGACTCTTTCACGCCTAAAGCCCTAAAACTATTGGAATGCTCTGAAGGATCTACATCCTAACAGCTTTTTAGGTTCTCTGTGTAAAGACATAGAATAGTAGGCATGTCTCCACATGAAACCCAGTCTGAAAATAAGAGGAACTCAAGTTACTGTCCAATTTGTTTTGCTGCCCTAGTTCTCTTTTTCTCTTTCCCAAACATGTCTCTGGAGCCTTCTGCCCACAGCTCCTTGGTAACAGCAGCACCCCTTTCAACAAACTACAGGTGCTATCTTTCTGAAAAACACAATACCTTCCTTCTAAGAACTTTTATGACAACTTAGAAGTAAATGTAAGGGAACAGACAGAGCCTTTCAAAAAATAAAACTTGATTATACTGAGCTTTTTAGGAATTGGTTATAAATTAATGATCTTTAGACTTAATTCCCAACACTTAGGTAGTGTTTTATATAGTTACAAAGATTTGCTTTGCAACAGTAATGCAGTAATGCTCTAAGTATGGTGAGAATATTGCCAACCCTATTTTATGGATAAGAAAACTGAGGTTCACGTTAATGAGAACTTGCTAACACTCATATGACTAGTAAGTGGCGGATCCTCAGATAGAGGATGGATTTTCTGACTGTTAAGTGCAGCTGCCACTCATTACCACTTGAGGTGTATTTCAGAGGTTTTGAAATTATGACTCACTACCTTGTTTTATTTATTTCATTCCTTGAGACACCATTTAGGCAACTAGACTGAACTGGAAAATAACAAAGGAAATTACCAAGGAGGGCTTAAGTTTTTCTAGAGAAGTAAAGTCAGATACAACTGTTATATTTTGCATACAGTGCAAATAGTTCCAGGTGCATGTGGATCATTGTATAGTTAGATATAAGCACCTGTGCTTATTGAAGCATTTGCCTTACATCCTCTACCTCTAGGCTGTGATTGTTTACCTGCTCATAAACAAATACAGCATGCAAATAGGTAGGATGGGGGGGAAGTATGATGAATAATCTGAAAATTTACATCTTGAGGAAATGAAATCTCATATTGGCTTCTAAAACACAAATGATCTCAAGACCAATAAAGAATACTAATTGCAATAAATGTTGAAAATACGTGTCATAAAATGAGTAAAAAAATTGCAGCTCTTTCACCTGTAAGATAAGAATATAGCCATATCAAATGTGGAAAACCTCAGTTGTTGTCTGAGATAAATCTTTGTGTACATAGCAATTTTCCTCAAAAGAGTGAAGTTAAAAATAGCCAAATTTTGAGTATTTATCTCATTACCTTTAAACTCACATAGATAAGCCCATTTTTTATAAAGGCAGACGGTAATTGCTGAGTTGAGAACTCTTGAAGAACAAGAACTCTGGCTTAGTTTTCTTTATATATTTCAGCCCCCCATGTGGCAGAAAATAGGCATCTGTAGTAAACACCTATTAAATAAATGGAGGAAACTTGGAGATTGAGTGAAGGCCAGAATTCCTATGACTTGTACATATTGTTTGACTTTGAATTTGATGTTCTCTTAATTATACAGCAGAATCTCAATGGAATGTTTACTGGAAAAAATGGATACAAAATGTTCATACAGTATGATCACAATCATGTAAAATTAATAACTATACAAAGAAAAATGACTGTAAGGAAATTTACTAAATGGTGGCTGTCTGAATATTATTACTGTAGATGATATTTTTCTTTCCCTTTTCTATATTTAAATAGAAAATTACAGTAGATTATGATTTAAGAATATGGTGATTATATAACATTATATATCCTTCTATAGTAGTGTGATTAGAGGCATAAGCAAAGACCAATACTTTTTTAAAATCATTTATTTTCCCTAAAATTGAGCCTTCTTGATTATCTTATATATGCCTTTGGAGGGGAACATAAAAAATGTTACTGGTTTGGAAATAATATTACTTGTGGAGCCAGTTTATGGTGTGAAATAAATTTATATGAACATGAAAGTTCATTCTGCCCTTTGAAATTTCTCTTTTTACTTTTTCCCCTCAGACTTGAATGTACTTGGCATATTAGTAGAGATCTCTGTAGTCCAAAAATATTTTTTCAGTAATTCCTGTGTGCCAAGTCCTGTGTTAGACCTTGGTTGCTAAGTTGGCTGTTTGCCTGTGGTGTGTGGTTTGGCACTTTCTCAGCTACAGATGCTTACTAAAGATTGCC